ATCGATCTCATCAATGAAAACGATACACGGCGCTTTCTCTTTCGCCTGCTTGAAGATGTCCCGCACGCGAGAAGCACCCACACCGACGAAGAGCTCGATGAACTCAGAGGCGGATGACTGGATAAATGGCACGCCAGACTCGCCAGCGAGAGCCTTGGCCATCAGCGTCTTGCCAGTGCCAGGAGGTCCTGTCAGCAGCACGCCACGGGGAATCTTGGCGCCAACCTTCACGAACCTCTCTGGCGCTTTAAGGAAATCCACAATCTCCATCAGCTCTTCCTTAGCCTCGTCAATCCCGGCCACGTCTTCAAATTTCACGCCCGTCTCTGGAGTGATCATGATCTTCGCCTGGCCCTGGTTGCCAAAGCCTGGGATGCCACCGCCACCAGGAGTGCGGGAGCGCAGGAAGAGCAGGCCGGCGATCAGCAGAAGTGGGAAGGCAACGTCACCGAGCACGTTGAACAAAGGGTTGGGCTTCTCGGGCTGGTGGACCTCGATGGAAATGCCCTTTGCCGTGAGCTTCTCGATAAGGCCTGTGGTGGCTCCAGGAAGATCGCACACAAACTGCTGCTCGCGGCCACCCACAGAAAGGGTGGCAACCGCCGTGCGCCCAAGGTCGTAGAAGTCCACACGCTTCACAGAGACCTCATCCACGAACTCGAGGAGACGGGAGTAGGTCACCCGCCCTGTGCCTCCGGCGAAAACACCCCCACCAGGCTGCTGCATTTGCATTTGCGGAGCTCCCACAGACTGCAGTGCGGGGACGTCGTCTGCCTTGGCTGCGAGCGGTGCTGCGGTGGCGGCTAGGGCGGCGAGGACCTGCACCGCGGCGTGCTTCACCACATGGTCAGGCAGCGAAGCTGTGGAGGCCTCCGAGGCCATGTCTTTCACTCGGCGCATCACTTCCTCGCTGGTCGATTCTCGGCCCTCTCGGCTCTCCGCCTCTGTTGCCAGCCCGAGCCGGGCAACAGCGCTGCGGGCAGCCTTGCCATCCCGCGGCGCCGCACGCGTGGAGCCACAGAAGCCACGACGAGGGCAGTCGGCGCACGCGAACCTGGGATTCTGAAGACTATGGGTTCCAGACGCGATTGTTACTACTACTAGCTACTCACTCGTTCTGCTCGTGGCTACCGTGCTATTGCTGGCAGTCGCTGAGAACCTGCTCGAGTTACCGTAGACCGGACAGGCAGTGACAAGCGCGAAAAGACTGCCCACCGAGAAGCATCATCGGCTTGTCCGGGTGGACGCACTGTGTTTTACGAGGCATTGAAACCTCAGCCGTCGTCTCGATTACCTCGCCCGTGTAGGCTGCCACAGCCATTTGAGAATTGCCCATGATGAGCTTGCCCTCTGCTGCTGCCTTATTGATCAGCTTCATGAGCTGCTCCCCAGAAACCTTTTCCTCCTCCATCAAAAGCTTGGCAAGCTCATCCAGGAGGTACATGTTATCCCGCAGCAGCTTCATTCCACGCTGGTACTGCTCATCAACGATGCGCTTCACCTCGCCATCCACCTTCTGCTTCAGAGCCTGCGACATGGGAGGGGCGCCCTGGCCCATGAAGTCACGGCCCATGAAAGGTCCTCCTCCCTGCTGTCCTCCGAGAAGTCGCTGGCCAATCTCCGGAGACATGCCCAGAGACATGACCATCTGCTTTGCTACCTGCGTGCACTGCTGGAAATCATTGGAGGCACCAGTGGTCACATTGTCCTTTCCGTTGATGATCTCCTCAGCCAAACGGCCACCAAGCGCGACGCACATGCGGTTCTCCAAGAACTCCTTCGAGTACAGTCCAGAGTTGAGCCTGTCTTCGGAAGGCATGAAGATGGTGACACCACCAGCTGGTCCACGAGGAACGATGCTGATCTTTGCCACGATGTCATAATCGTTCATCAAGGCCCCCA